AGGATCACCTTAGGGTTCTCTTCCTCCTCCTCCCGCCTCGCCACCCCCGTCCTCCTTGTCCTTCATGTGCTCTTGCTTGGCTTTTCCCTCTTTTCTCCTGGCTTCTTCCTGCCTTGCCACCCCAGTCCTCCTCCTCGTCCCCATGGTCCTCCTCTTTCTTGGCTTCTTTCCTCCCCTCGCCTCTGTCCTCCTCCTTGTCTTTAACCCAGATTTTCCTGGGTTTAAAAGTCGTCTTATATGCCAGAAAATATGGTAGATGCCAGTGTTATAACAGAATCAATTGATGAAGTGTCCAGCAACTCCGTTAATGAAATTATACAGGATCGATTCCAATCTGTGAGTACTGATGACGTGGACAAGCTCCTTGGTAGTGTGAGGAAGATGACTTGCCTGCTCGATCCTTGCCCGTCATGGCTGGCCGTCCGGGGGGGGGGGGGGGGGGGGATGCATTGAGGCTATTCCTTAGAGACATCATCAATGCATCCCACAGGAAAGGTCATATTCCACCTTGTTTGAAGGAAGTGGTGGTTAGTGGTGGTTAGGCTGCTTCTGAAAAAGCCTTTCTTGGACCCCCTGGATATGAACAACTGTAGGCCAGTCTCTTTACTATCTTTTGTAAGCAAAGTGATCGAGAGGGTGGTTGCTCTTCAACTCCAAGCTGTCTTGGAGGAAACCGATTATCTAGACCCTTTTCAAACTGGCATTAAGACAGGATTTGGAGTTGAGACTGCCATGATTGCCTTGGCTGATGACCTTTGTCTGAGCATCGTTAGGAGTAGTGTGACCCTGCTGATACTCTTAGACCTCTCAGTAGCTTTTGAGATAATAGATCACAACATCCTCTTGGATCACCTGAGAAAGTTAAGAATTGGAGGCATTGCATTGCACTGGTTCTGTTCCTTCCTTTCAGGCATATTCCAGAGGGTGTTTCTCGGGGACAGTTGCTCCACTAGGAAGGAGCTTAATTGCAGCATCCCTCAAGGTGCCATCCTGTCCCCAATGTTGTTCATAGAATCACAGAATCATA